TTAGGCTAAAGCATGTTTTGAAACTTTGCACAATGATTATATAGACTTAAAAAAATATGTATATGATTATTGTTAAGTCCAAAAACTAAGAATATAGATTTTTCACAAAATTGCATATTCTATGCAATGATTTAAAAAACACAATAGTGAATATGAAATATATGGTTTCATATTTATAAACATGAAAACTCAAAAACTATGTATGTATATATATAACTATATATATGCATAGAAACCAAAACTTATGTGTATATATATAACTATATACTATATATATGCATAGAAACCAAAACTTATGTGTATATATATAACTATATATATATATACGAAGAAACCAATAAATGTGTGTGTATAGATAATTGAGATTAGAGTACTTAACACACATAATATAAATCCTCAACTTGGTACACGTTGCGGATGAAGCTAAACTTGGATCTTGAACTTGAATTGTACGATGCTTCACTCCACAATTCCGCCAATCTCCTCTTGATATGATCGTGTAGGCTTAATCCATCCAACTTTCAACTCGTTGTTTGTCTATAATAAATAAGAAAACACAAATACTAGACAAACAACATTAGTAGTAAATTATTTGTTAAACATCATCAAAACAAGAAGTATAGTACTTTATAGGAAAGTATAGCACCTTATGGCCAAAGTATAGCATTATATGGTAAAGTATAACACTTTATTGGCAAAGTATAGCACCTTATTGGCAAAGTATAGTACATTATGCTCTCTGGAAATTCTGCACCTTAAGTTGTCTAAAACTAAATCAGTTTTTTTTCACCGCAACGCAAACACTCGATGACCTACGTTTCGTGTTTATTGACCAATTATCCACCGCGACGGGGGGTCCTCGCGCAATTTTGAAGGTTTTGGCAAAGTATAGCACTTTATGGGAAATATACCACATTATGGCCAAAGTATAGCACTATATGGCAAAGTATAACACTTTATTGGTAAAGTATAGCACCTTATTGGAAAAGTATAGCACCTTATGCTCTCTGGAAATTCTGCACCTTAAGTTGTCTAAAACCAAATTTGTTTTTTTTCACCGCAACGGAAACACTCGATGACCTACGTTTCGTGTTTATTGACCAATCATCCACCGCGATGGGGGGTCCTCACGCAAATTTGATGGTTTTGACAAAGTATAGGACTTTATGGAAAAGTATAGCACCTTATGGCCAAAGTATAGCACTATATGGAAAAATATAGCACTTTATTAGGAAAGTATAGCACCTTATTGGCAATTTTAGAGAGATACTTTGTCAAAACCTTCAAAATTGCACGAGGACCCCCCATCATGGTGGATTGGTGGTTAATTGGTCAATAAACACGTAATGTAGGTCATCGAGTGTTTGTGTTGCGGTGAAAAAAACTGATTTGGTTTTAAACAACTTAAGGTGCAGAATTTCTAGAGAGCATAAAATGCTATACTTTGCCAATAAGATACTATACTTTACCAATAAAGTACTATACTTTCTCATATAGTGCTATTCTTTGGCCATAAGGTGCTATAATTTCCCATAAAGTGCTATATTTTGCCAAAAGCTTCAAAATTATGCGAGGACCCCCCATCACGGTGGATGATTGGTCAATAAACACGTAACGTATGTCATCGAGTGTTTGCATTGCGGTGGAAAAAACTGATATGGTTTTAGACAACTTAAGGTGCAAAATTTCCAGAGAGCATAAGGTGCTATACTTTGCTAATAAGGTGCTATACTTTGCTAATAAAGTGCTATACTTTGCCATATAGTGCTATACTTTGGCTATAATGTGCTATACTTTCCCATAAAGTGCTATACTTTGTCAATAAGGTGATATACTTTGCCAATAAGGTGGTATACTTTGCCAATAAAGTGCTATACTTTGCCATATAGTGTTATACTTTGGCCATAAGGTGCTATACTTTCCCATAAAGTGCTATACTTTGCCAAAAGCTTCAAAATTGTGCGAGGACCCCCCGTCGCGGTGGATGATTGGTCAATAAATACATAACATAGGTCATCGAGTGTTTACATTGTTGTGAAAAAAAACTGATTTGGTTTTAGACAACTAAGTTGTAGAATTTCCCGAGAGAATAAAGTGTTATACTTTAGCAATAAAGTGCTGCACTATTGTCATAAAGTGATATACTTTTCCATATAGTGCTATACTTTAACAATAAGCTGCTATACTTTCCCATAAAGTGCTATACTTTGCCAAAAGCTTAAAAATTGAGCGAGGACCCCTCGTCAAGGTGGATAATTGGTCAGGCGACACATAACGTAGACGAATATAATATAGCTCCTTTTCTATGTAACAACGTCAACTCTTATACATAAAACATGACATCTGATATCGCTGAACCTCATACACATGAGACATATATAAATGTTGTGCATCAACCAAATATCGCAAAATTATCAAATAGCATTAGTTTTGGAATAGAACAATACCATGAGCTATGAATGTACACATTTGATATTAAATACAAGATCTGAAACACATTTCATAGACATATAACCACTGGTGGCCTTATAACATGCTTCGAAAATAAAAATATCTGATATATGATGAATCATATTAATCTGAATACTCATATATCCTCAGTACACATGCACATATTAATCTGAATACTCATATATCCTCAGTACACATGCATACTTATGTTATAAGTATACATACTAACATAATATTAAAAAACCTCAGTACACATGCATACTTATGTTATAAGTATACATACTAACATAATATTAAAAAAGAAGACATCTTAAATACAGATAATGTTCCAAATATTATTTTACTTTCTTCAGTGTTGTTTCTCCTAATTACTTTAGTTGCATCAGCAAGCTTGTCAAGGCTCTTGTGTTGCAACATAATAAACATCTCAATGGGTTTCCTTCGAAAGGAACCGCGATTCTTCATGCATAAGATTGGTGGTAGATCTTCAATGAATACATCATGTTCTAACTCTTCTCAACTAGTTCGTAAAAACATACCTAGAAAATCATCAAAATCAAATATTGACAAGAGAGAACACTAAGCGTAAATTCAACGAACAGGTGGTGGGCAAAGAGTTGAACTAACCTGACTTGCAATGGAGAACAACATAACCCACCTCTTCCTGCCGAACCCACTTCTTTTGAGTGCCAAGGATCCTCACCATCGTCACCGGCTTATGCGAAAGCAACTCCTTACAAAGCCAGGTGATCTTCGACCTCCGTCATTACTACTGGTGCTCCTCAAGCTCTGTCCACTAGCGGCAATGACAAGTGCTTCAGGTTGATGGGTGAACCGCCGGGAGTCAATGTCGAAATCATTGGTGGGCTATTCATCTACTTCAAGATCGACAGTGGTGAGTGACGTGGTGGCGAGGGGAGATAGGGGCGGTGGATGCAGAGGTTGATGGGCTTGAGGGAGGAGGGGAAGTGAAGGGAGGGAAGAGGGGGAGGTTGGTGGTAGTGGTTGAAGGAGAAGAGGAAGGAAGAAGAGAGCTCTGAGCTCAGATGGAGGAGGAGGAGAGAGGGAGAGATCAGTTTGGGGATGAAGGGTAGTTTAGGATTTTTTAAGTTTTTGGATAAATACAGTACAAATAATGGGTGTATTGTACATTTGGGTTTAAAAATAAGCGGGATGTGATATAATGAGTCTATTGATGTTTTGAAAAGTGAGTGGGTTTTTAAATAAGTTGGGGTAAAACTTTGGGTTAAAAGAGGATTTTCCCTAAAATTTAATCCTTATGGCATGTCGTACCAAACACAGGAGTGTTTCCCCTAGTAAATGTTCTAGGGTAATAGTTAGCGAGTTTAAACCTTATTGCTTTAACCTCATATGAAACGAGCCCTTAGTGTGTTATCCCATGGTTTTCTTCTATAATCCACCTTTTATATAGATCCATGAAACACTGCTTGGAAGACGGGAGTTCATTTTAGATTCCTTAATTCTAGCTTATTAACATTTTTTTAATATCGTAGTAACTACTAAATTTTATTCCATTTTGCAGTTGCTTAACGTAGTCTTTTGTTAGTTATCATCAATCTAGTTAGGTCTGTCCATCCGGGCCGGTCCGGCCCGGAAATCCGGGCCCGGAACGGGCAAAAAATAAAAAATAAAAAAATAAAAAAATACATATATTATACATATAAGAAAATAAAAAATAAAAAAATTAAAAAAAACACTGTTTCGGGCCGGGCACCGACGACCGGGCCCGGACCCGGGCCCGGGTTTCCGGGCCAAGCCCGGGCCGGGCCGGCGGGCTTTTTGGACACCCCTAAATCTAGTGACAATAATTTCATAATATATCATTATATTTTCACTCAATAAAATTATACACTCAAATAAAAGGAGAGATACAACTAGTATTGTGTATCTCACGTTTTTGTGTTTTCCTTCAAGCTGTTAAAAAAGAGTATAAAAACTTGAATCAAAAGTTTATATAAATATTTTTGAATAAGCAGAGATGATCCATAAATCTTTTAAGGACAAATTTTTAAAAAAGACTATTTTTTAATATTAATAAGCAAAATCGACCGCTTACAATTTTATTCAGCAATATCGACCGCACGGGACTGCTAGTCCCGTGCAGTTCTCCAAAAACCCCCAAAAATCAACGATTTCCTCTCTCCCCCTCTCAGTCCCTCTCAACCGCTACTGTTCATCTCCTTCAACATCCCTATTCTCCTTCAACTCAGAACCCAACACCAGAACCCACCTCCTCTCACAAAACCGCTCCAGCACCGCTCCCTCCTTGCAGCCACGCAACACCAATCACCGCCCTCCCTCTCCCCCTATTTCCGTCAAATCCAGCACCGCCCGACGTATATTTAACTGCACATGAGCATTGTATAGATGTATAGTTACTGTATTCTTGAAATAAATAAAATGAGAAAATGCTTCCACCCTGTGGACATTTTCAAACCTATGATTCCTCCAAGTTGACAGCTCAAAGGTGAAAACCCCACGTCTTGTTAAAGATTCACTCAGTTCCCTTTGCACTTTATTTTTTAAAATTACTAATATTGTTCTTTTGTTTCTCTTTTGCAAATAATAATGTTAAGATGAAGTATCATGTTCTCTACCTTCCCTCTCGTACCCACCCACTTGAAATACTAAAAATTGCCAATTGAGCTTGACTTTGTTGTTTTGACAATGTTTTAGTGAGGTCTGAACCGACCTCTAAAAGCAATCGTTAATAAAACTAGTGCATGCTATCTTCATTTCACTGCTAAAGAAGTTCAAACCATGTCGAACCTTGAGAAGTGGCACGCGCTGTACCATTTTCAGCAGTAAATGAGAAGGCATAGGGTGCTCTTTTCACACATGAATATGGACAGCCTGAAAACAAATTGAAACTGAATCTCTTAGAAAGGCAATATCGCTTTTATGGTAAATAAGTAGATGCCTTCCTGACAATATATAATTTATTTATTTCAACATGATAAGTAGATGATAGTCATAAAGTACAAAGCTAAATCCAGCCATCTTGGGAACGAGTTCCACAGGATATAGCACGTGCATGCCCCTAACAGAACAATGATATAGATGTAGATTTCAGTTTATTCAATGTAAGTAATGTTGTAAGTAAAACTGGTTAACAAGCTGTCTAATTAAAAAAGACGCAAGCTAGAAGCAGTACATATTTGTGCAATGGAGTAAGATAAAAGGATAAATGAACAAATGAGCTATCTAATAAGCAAATTTCAGTTCTAAGTGCTGTACATAGGCGAACTTAACGCACCTTTAGGAACTACAACAACATATAAAGCTATCATCATGAAGATGCTATTACCTTTCATTTCAATATTACCTTTTTCATATGAAATCTCAAGACACAGTTATGCGAGGTAAAGGTGACACTAGATTTCAAAAGTTGGTAAAGAAACACAATCAATAATTTTGAGAGTAACAAAGAAAGAATTAAAATGATATGTCAAAGCAACATTCACCTTTGCCAAGACAAAGAACTTCATTGATGAAGAGATCATAGGCCTCACATTCTGGCTCATCAAATGGATCTAAGCATGCCCTACCAGATATCAAATAACAAGTTTTAGATATAATAAGATCTATAAAAAAGATTGTCGGTGTCAAAATTATTGTCAAAAACCTTCGTAATAACCAGTAGCCAAGAAAGCAATATTCTTCTCAGAGTTATTATCATCACGAATGTAGATTTTATAAGCCTATAACTAACACTAATCACGACCGTAATTGTCATGCCTATTGGCCAGTTAGTTCTAGTTTAGAAGAACTCAGAGGCCTTCTCTTATATTAGCAGACTTTCCTTCCAAAGAGCTAGCCCAAAAATTTAAGGTCAAATCCAGCTCTAGCATAGTTTCCTGCTCAGCAACTTGGCAACCCATAGAGAGTAACTATCACATTGACAGTGGATTCTAAAACTCAGATAAATTCTTTTATGGAGCTATCTTGACTTAGACTCATGCTCCACATCCCCATTTGAACTTTGAAAGATTGGATCATGATGATGATGGATTTGCTTTTTTTTAAGGTAACCTAGAGTTAACTTTTTTGTATAAATATAAGAATTAAATTCTAATAAATGCCTAATAAATGCCTAAGTAAAACACCTTGCAGTGTAGTAACACATATTGATAGGAGTAAAGTAGAAATTACCCTTCAGTATCCTCAAGATCATGGCGTTTAGACAAAATCTACATAAAAAACAAACCAAAATACACTTAAAATTAGGCAATGATGGAGATGCTATACTTACCGTTTTATATTTATTGAACTTTATGTAAAAAAAATATTAATTCCAGACAATGGAAAATAGAAAATCTGAAAGAGAAAAAAATTAAATAAAAGGCAGGCTGGGTAAAAAGAAGTGATTCATTACAGCTAAAGGTAGGTTGACTGTACACCATGTATGCTCTTGCTACAACCAATACTGTCATTTGCAAAATAAATAAGAGTGCACTATGAATAATCAAGATTTGCAAAGGAAGTTCCTTCCACTCTTAACGACATGTATAAAAATCAATGCAGCAGAAATGCGGAAGTAAGATGGGTAATGTAAGTATAATAAGAGGTAGGATAAGAAATGATTACATTTATAATAAGTAAGAGGTTACTCTTGTTGAGAATAAACAGAGAGAGAATCTGCTGAGATGATTTAGGCATATGCAATGTTGGCTAATAGCTAAGACATTCAGGAGAAGTGGTAGGACAATAGACTCATGGTTAATTGAGCAATGAGGATGCAGACCTCATGAAACTTAGATGAATTACTGTGGTCAAGGCACTTAATAAAATTGAATGGACGAATATTATCAAGTTAACCAAAAAGTTTTGAAATTAAGAACTTCGTTGTTGTAATTAAACCTCTCAAGAGATATCAGAATAGTAAACCATGATTTCAAGCACATACTCAAAGTCTCACAACACACCAAGGACGAGAATGACTCACTTCTTAAGAGAAAAAATCAATGATTTTGTACTGTGGTTAAAACCCAAAAACTATAATGAAAAAAGAAAGACAATCATTTTTTGGTTGGTTACTTGAATCCTCCTCTAAGTCCTCTTCCATTCAGTTTTTTAAAGATAGTGTTATCAGTCAAATTATCAGCAACTGTATCCTTTCTAATTCCCTTCAACATATTCACTTAGGCCCACCACCTTCTCCATCAACTAGATTCTACTTATAAATGGTGCTCTTATTGGTAGGCACATGAACAAACCATCCCGTCCTCGTTAAGTCCTCAATGGAACTAGCTCTGAATTCTTACCGAAGCAATCATTTATTAATTAATGTATTGTCATTTGTCCATCTAAATACTCTCATCTAAGGTAAACTTTTTTTCTGGATATGTCTCTAAATATCTGAAATACTAACTTGTAAAGCATTTCTAGTCTTATAGACATCTTATAGAACTGCCCTTCAAATCATATCTCATGAGCATCCTTATCCAACTTGTAGTCTAGGTACAACAATAATATGCTACAAAACCTGCCAATGGGGGATGAACGATTGTTGGACTCTTTTACATTGTATTGAACTAAAATCTCTTTAATTAGGACATGAACATCAGGAGAAACATCTATCAAGATATATACATAATTGCTTTTAATTTTCCAAGAATAAGAAATGTGCAGGATTATCAGTTTAACTTCTGCAGAAGCGTAAGAGCAGTATTTCAAATCTAGACGCATGCTTCTACTTTGTAATACCTCAAGATCAATTAGGCAAGTCAGATTGAGAGCTCATATAAAATTATCGATTCCTTGCGTTGTGCTTGCAAGCTCACAATTTCTATAGTAGGTAAATAAATTTGGAATTAAATTTAATGTTGAATATGGTATTTAATTTACCAGAACATAAGTGATTAAAGATACCATATGCAGGGAAAAAATCCCTTACGCATTGCTCTAGAGGATTATGTGATAGAACCTACTGAAAAGCGAAAACATTATTGCTTACACTTTGTAGAATAATGTACAATAATTGGCTTCATGTAACACCAAAGAGCACCAAATTACAATTTATGTACTACTTATAAACCTCTTAAATGGGTACAACAACAAAAGATACGTGTAATCATTTAATGGAAGGCAATTCAAATACCCACTATTGCAAACTTTATTTTTACTACATTTCTATATAGATAATAGACAAAGGCACAATTTTAATTCAAGAATAGCATTATATCTTCAAGAATCTATCATAATTTTGTGCAAATTATGCTAAACTTGATTAGAATAGACTCTAGTTTAGAAAAAATAAGAACAATTTAAACAAATCAACTGAACTTCATGAAAAAATAAGAATAGACTCTAGTTTAGAAAAACTTGATTAGAATAGACTGTAGTTTAGAATAGCCGATCTATTTATGTAATCTCCTTGATTAGAATAGACTCTAGTTTAGAAAAAATAAGAACAATTTAAACAAATCAACTGACCAAGAGAGCTCGCGGACGAGGGCGGCTAGGGCTTCGGGATTGACTCCGCGATCGCAGAGGGAGATGATGAGGGAGAGGGTGATGCCGGGTCGGAGGCGGCGTCGGAGGCAGAGGAGGAGGCGGAGGAGGAGGGAAGCCGCCAGAGAGAAAGAGGAAGAGATTGACGGGGGTTCTAGGTTTTTCTTTTGGAACGCGGGCGGGCAAATGGGCACATATACACCGCCCATTTAGTACCCGTTTAGTGTGGATTAAAATGAACCCGCCCAATTAGACCCATTTAACTAAATGGGTGGGTAAAGCTGCATCCTCAGGAAGTACATAATTTCAGGGGCCGGGCCAGTCGCTGCCGTTGCCTTCCCTAAGCTCATCCCTCTACATCCTCCCGCGTGCTCCAGCGGCTCTACGGGAAGTACATAATTTCAGGGGCCGGGCCAGTCGCTGCCGAGGCTCATGGGATAACGTCCACTCGGAATTTGCCTTTTCCATGACTCAGAAGAAGCAGGGGCATAATTGGAAATATGGCCCACGTGAGCAGATTAGAGCTCTCCGGCCATTCTCCCCACAATGTTTGTGGAGCAGCCTTTGTTCTCGCCCCCGTCTCTCTCTCTCTCTTTCCTGCGTTCCGATTGTGATTCCCGCGGGGTTCGCGGTCCGCTGCCTTCACTTTTCCCCTACAAACATTACCCTGCACTTTCATATTTATTTCCAAATTTACCATCCTTTATGGACGCAGGCATGCAGGGAATAGAAACGGGGTGGTGTGGTAGTTATCGATTATCCTTGCTGCGAATTGTAAAATGCTGATTTATTCACAAATTCTTCATCCGACAAAAATGAAAAAAGAGGAAAGGCATTATTTAAATTTATATTTTTTCTAATTACTTTTTTCAAATAATATTATTTAATTATTTCAAAAAATATATTTTTAAAGAAAATATATTCTTTTTCAAAAATATTAGTTTTGGAAAATATTATTTCTTCATAAGCTATTATTTATTAATAAAATATTATTTTTTGATAAAGTAGTGCCGCATTTACCAAAAAATAAAATATTATTTTTTATAAATATTTTTTTCATAGAGTACTCTCACATTTACCAAATACTAGTTTCTAAAAATATTTTTAAAATGTACTTCAATAATATTATTTTTAATCTTCAAATTTAAAAATTTTAAAAAATAATTGAAAAACAAGTTGCATATAAGAAGTTAGCTGCAACTGCACGTCGAAAATTTAAAAAATGAACCAAATAGTTGCAACTATAATTGCATGTAAGAACAGTTACAACATCTTAGTTGCATGCAAGTGCTAGTTGCAAGCTACCCCATTTGTAATCATAAGGTGTTTTATTGATGCTTACAATATCAATCTGAATTTTTGATTACCTTATACACTTAATAAAGTTGGTCCCTCAAACACTAAAATCTAGACCATCAACTCTTGACTAGTTTCCCTCCGATCAAAGGTAAAAGTGACAATTAGAAGGATTAATTTAAAACCCCTTAATGAAATTTGCCTAATAGCAATTTCACTGGTACGGGAGACATGCAAATTCCCTCTACGTGCTATACTTATATGCTTTATATGAGAGTTAATTTCAAAATAATCTAGGGATTAGGGATTTGATAACAATTTTAATGATTTGAAAGACTAATTTTATAATATGTAGATTTAAGATACTCCCATGCACCAAACTCACAGCGTTACATGGCAAGCTCGTAATTTCTTCCATTTCACAAGTGCCTTTATAACCTACTCTTGTACATAAACCCTATCAACCCGAGAATGTTCGTTTGCTATCCGAAAAAAAAAAACCAACAACAAAAATGAGCTTCCCTCTCACAACAAAATCCTCAATCTCAAAATGCACAAAGCCATCCAAACGAAAATCCAATAGAAAAGGTAGCCGAAGGTGTTCGGAGAAATACTGCAGGGAAACCATGAGCTCTAGCAAGGGCGTTGCTGAGAGGCTGGACGCTCTCAAGGGGCTCGTGCCGTCGATGGGCAACGACGAGGTAGTGAGCGCTGATGAGATCTTCGAGGGGACTGCCGATTATATCTTGATGCTCAGAACTAGGGTTGAGATCTTGAAGCACTTGGTGGAGTTCTATGGGAGAGTGGCTCCCATGAAGAAAATGCAGCCCTTTCATGAATTTTTTTAATGATTTTTTTTTTTTGTTTGAACGTTGGGTTTTGTTAGAGGAGATGGGTTTTCTTTTTATTCCTTTTTAGGTTTGTAGCTGAGTTTTTATTACTATTTAACTTATTTATGAATGGATCCTATTATAATTAGACTTGGGTAAATTGCACAAAATAACACCCCGCATCTATGAGTTGCACAAAAACCCTCCTCAACTCATTACTAATACTTATTTTCTTCAGTCCTGGAGAAAGAGGGGTGTTACTTTGCAATTTATGTTTTTAAAAATGGTATTTTGGAGGTGCTAAGTGTTAGTAAATAAATTGATGGGGTTTAATGCAACTGAAGGTAGGGGTTCCCGTGCAATTTACGCAGAGAGAGAGAGAGAGAGAGAGAGAGAGAGAGAGAGAGAGAGAGAGAGGTTTGATTCCTGGTTTCATGTGTTATTTGATTTCCAACTTTTTCCTGGTTTCATGTGTTATTTGATTTCCAACTTTCACGGCCGACTTCCGTTTTTCCTGGTTTCATGTGGTGTCTGATTTTTCAGCTTTCACGGTTTGGACTAGATTATGGGATTATTATAGAAAGGATATATAGTTTTAATGAAGTTCAAATCTCTGATACTTATATAACACAAACAAATCAAATTATAGAGAAAATAGTACTACAAGTAATTAAAGAGGACTCCGATTCTCTTTATTATAGAAATGTAGTGGCGAGACCATTATTATATCACAATCGTTAATTTATTTAATAGATGGTTATGATTTGACCTTGAGTGTAAATTAGGAAAATAGTGTAATATGGTATGGTAAGTGTAAGGTATTTAAGGAATCATAACCACCCACTGTATAAATCAACAACTATGATTAATATATCGTCTCTTAACTACATTTTTTTTGTAGTGGACAGGATGTTGGGGGGATATAAGTCCTTGCCTATTAAGATCTCCGCAACTCGAAAGTCAACCACAATTTACAAGATAAAAAATACTTACAATCAAGAATAAGAGTTATAAGAGGAACCTCTCAACACTCGTCTTGCAATCTCTCAAGCTCACATACATAATCGACTCTTATGTTCTTTGCGAAGCCCTCTCTTTACAATCTTTTGGACGGACAAATACTGTAAACTCCCAACCTTGCAATCTTTTACACAGATAAAGATTACGAAATCCTCTTCTCTCGCGCACTATTTATGAATCCGATTTACACCCTTTGTTGAACTAGATTACAATTATAGCAGTTACCTCCTTCTCTCCAAGATATTCTACAATAATAGCGGACTATATAGGGAAACCAAAATCCCATCCGTAGTCTAACAACCTAATTAGAATAGGATACAAACTCCTTATCATGATGAAACTCAATCTCCTGATCATGGTAGACCTCTAACCCTATCTAGTTCTCATAAAGTTATACAAAGAATTAAAGATACAATTCCAACAATCTCCATATTGGATTTGATTCTCAAACTACGTTGAAGATATATCATTTACCGTATTAAAACTTTGTCTCTTCTGCCAGTGCCTTTAGGGTGTAAAAATTAACTTCCTATTTGAGGGGTCGTTTGTATTTATAAGAATGACTTATTACAAACTAATGATTAACGTTTTACAATAGAGGAGAAGGGAATGACCCATCTTGTTTAACATGAGTTCATTGGCAGCGGTAGGACACCTCCCTCGGTGCTCGTGCTAAGTTTGCTTTCCTTGGACGATCCGATCAAAGTTGTGGTTGGAGCTCCAGTACGTAGTAGAAGCTCGGTTGGATGAGTTCGACGACCGAGCAATTGCTTGATTACTTGAAGGCTAAGTACGCCGAGATCTTAAAGTTCGGTCCTCTTCAGCTGAATATTCAAACGAGATCACGAACAAGCTGATTTCCAAGGAGTTTGTAAAGAGCCATGCTCGGTTCTCTTAGAGCTTAAGAGAACTAATTGCCAAGGAGTTTGCAAAGAGTCAGGCTCAGTTCTCTTAGAGCTTAAGAGAACTAATTGCTAAGGAGTCAAATAGGTTCGGTCTTGATCAAGAGTTCAAGACCTCTCTGTTAGACCCGGGAGGGGGAGGGGCGGGGGGTAATTAGGGTCTTATGCTAATCTAAACCGATTATATACCAATTAAAACTAATTAACAAGTTATTCTAGTAAGTATAAAATACAACAAGATATATGAGCTAGGATAAGTGATATACACAAGGGTAAACAAAATAAACAAGATAGTGGATGATATAAATAATGAGCAATGGATAATAACGATAAGAAATATACACACAAGGGTAAGTGCGCCAAAGCAAACTCAAACACACGAAATGATCACGGGGTTCAGACCTTCTGTCCTACGTC